TCCCCATCTCCCTGCCTGGGTGCCACCCAAACAGTTCAAGCCAATCAACCGCCTTCTGTATCCAGAGGGCCTAGTCCAGTCCCGTGGGGGCTCCACAGCCACCAGTCCACAGTTCATGGGCTTCCACTAGTGTGGCCCGTCATCTCTGCACATCCTTAGGGAGAACTTTTCTGTTTCTAGAAGAGCAATTCAGATTCCAGGGGCAGGTGAGGTGCAGTTGGAGGGTGTGAAGGGGTGGCCATCTTCCTGCCGCCAGCAGAAGCTTGTCTGCAGAGGAGGAGCTGAGTCAGCAGGAGAGAAATGACCAGCAGCAGGCAGGCTCGTGGCTGATGGACAAAGCGGCTGTGTGCAAAGTGAGCGCGAAGACCCACAAACGCAGATCTTGAGGATCCTAATTTTTGATCTTAGCTAATACACCAAGATATTCTGTTTTATGCTGACCATTGTTGTATCTGTCCTGATTTTACCCTCTGTACCTCAACCTGGACGGCCCAGGGTCCCATCCCCACACTGCATAAGATAAGGAAAACAGTGCCTTATGCTAGAGATAAATAGCTTTAGAAGTGGCTGAATCACAATGAAAATAGAATAATAACGAGGAAAGCTATTGTATTTTCATCATTATATTTATTCAAATTTGTTCTCTTTCAAAAATTTATAGAGGGACTGCAGAATTCAAATGTATATTACTTAATTATTTAAATATTTAAGTATAGTTATTTCTGATATCTGCAACTCAAAGAATTTTTAATTGTGTCCTTGTTAAATTGGTTCTATAGAGTTTTATTTTTTTTTTAAAAAAAGGCAATGGTTCTCTAACTTTGGTGTATATTAGATTCACCTGGAGACATTGTTGAGCCTCATCTTAGACTTTCTGATTTGGTAAATCTGGCATGGGAGGGGGTCAAAAGTGCTTCTGTCTAATGAGGTTCTAGACGATGCTGCTCCTGTTGGGTCAGGCAGGGCTCACACTTTCTGAGACCCTCATTTGAAGCATTAACACAGACCCTTGTAGCACCTAGTGCTCTTGAGTGAGGAGGAGACCGTCTCATTAGGCAATGTGCTCCCCAACACTGAAAATTTGCAAGCAGCAGCTGGATTACGAATGAGGGATGGGCCTCTTCGTTTGTTCTTTCAGTGACTGGAAAGCACTGAAACATGTTCTTCTACAAATTCAGCCTTGTCAGTTAGGAAAGTGCCGTCATGTGTTTCCATACTAACCTTGTTCATAAAACTTTGTATTAAGCCTACAGACACTGAGACTCCCTGTTTCACAGCGCTAATAAAGTAATCGTCTTACCTTCACTCTCTAAACTCAATATAACAACTCTGAATGGTCATGGGTGACCATAGCCAGGCTTCATGTTATAGTGTATTAAAAGTTCTAACTTGAGGAGATAATTAGGTCAGTTCTCTTTCGTTACCAATCATTACAGTGGTTCATCTACTAGAAATACTACTGTGGTGATATATTGTGGCCCCCCAATATATTGTACCTCCTAATAAATTTATCTGGGGTCAGAGAACAGAACAGCCACTAGACAGACATGGAGGCCAGAAAATGGTGGCACTCACACCTTTAATCCTAGCATTCCAGAGGCAGAGATCCATCTGGATCTCTGTGAGTTCAAAGCCACACTGGAAACAGCCAGGCGTGGTGACTCACACCTTTAATCCCAGGAAGTGATGGCAGAAAGGTATATAAGGCATGAGGACCAGGAACTAGAGCTGGTTAAGCTTTTAGTCTTTTGAGCAACAGTTCAGCTGAGATTCATTCTGGATGAGGACTCAGAGGCTTCCAGTCAGAGGAAACAGGATCAGCTGAGGAATTGGCAAGGTGAGGTGGCTATGGCTTGTTCTGCTTCTCTGATCTTCCAGCATTCACCCCAATACCTGGCTCCAGGTTTGTTTTTATTAATAAGAACTTTTAAGATTTGTGCTACATACTACAAGGGAAAGAAAATCCTGTTTGCCCTTTAAATTTTTGACGAAGAATAAATTGCATGGAACAAACAATCATGAAGATAGTATAGCGTGGATACTGTCACATTTTTATTGTGAGGCAATCATCTTAAGATCACTTATAAGGACTGGGAATGATGCTGGGCAGAGGGCAAAGCACTTGTCCAGTATTCAGGAAAGTCCTGGGTTCAACCTCCAATACTGCATGAACCTGGTGTGGTGGTGCAGGTCTGTAATCCCAGCACTGAGAGGTGAAGGCAGGATGATCACAAGTTCAAGAGCATCCTCAGCTACATAATGAGTTTGAGGCTAGCCCGGGCTCTATAAGAAGATTGCTTCTTATTTCTAACACAAGACATATTTTATAGTAACATGCTCAGGCACTGTTAGAAGTAAAACAGATGTATCAGTTGTTGAAAGATGCTCATGATGAACTGATATTAAATACATTTAAATAACCTGTGAATATACCATTTCTCAGAAATCATCAGCTTGGGTGAAGGATGCTGTGTGTGTTAGGCATACATTTTACTCCTGAGCTATATCCCTGGCCCTATAACTCACTTTAAAAGGCAGAAACCTCAATTATAAGTCTTTGGCAAATAAGTAGGGTATATCAGGTTATTTCAGCTGTTCTTTTTCGGGACTAGGGATTGAACCCAGGACTTCGCACACCTTTGGCAAACGTTCTACCACTGAGCCATATTCCTAGCCCTTCTATTACTTCTTATTTTGAGATGGGAGCTCACTAAGCCTCCCGGCCGGCCTTGAACTTGCAGTGTTCTCACCTAAGCCTCCCACTAGTGTCAACCATCTACACTAGTCTGAAGATGCTTGTATTAAAAGGAACAAATGAAATATGAAATGTCAAATGAAATAGACATTATTATTTCATATTTTTAGCATCGTATATGTATGCATATTTATGGGTATCTGCCGCTCACCAAACTTGTCATTTCAGTTGAATCTCAAGATTCCTCAGACTCTCATGAGCTTTTTCTTTTCCCAAGTATAAAAATGCAGAGATTGCACTGGGTGTTCCTTGTAGTTCTTTTGAAGTTAGCATTCTGCAGTTTTGGGAAAGTAGAGAAGGCATACGATTCACTAAGATGTTTCTTTTATTTATCAGTTTGTTGTAGTCTTTAGAATTTTAATGTTGAAGCCATTCCATGCCTGTATTTGGGAAATGGAGACACTGAAGAAAATAATGAGCTTATGGCTAACTTCGTGGGGAGTGGGCCCATCATGAAAGAAGACTTGAACCCTACAAATCTGCAGAACTATAGGTCAGCACTGTGGGGTTGAGAGAGCAGTGTCCTGAGGAAGACTGGTACAGGCCATTTGTGGCGCTCCCCTCCTCCAATGTCACAGGTCTGTAATTTCTCAGTGAATTTCACAATGAGCTCTGTGGGGTGACACTAATTCACTCTGTTATTTAAGGACAAATAGAAATTAAAAAAAAAAAAGCAATTTGTTCAGCTTTGTGTAATGAATGAGTTTAAGAATCATCCTTAAAACCTCTCGATTGAGGAGACTTGTAGTCCTAAGAGGATCCTGGCGAGTTGATCTGAAGTGCAGAAAGTCCACGTCAGCAGCTTCCTCTCCTATCAACACGAAAACTAAATAACTTCAAAGGTGGCGATTGTGTGGCAGCATTCCATCGTTACTATTTATAAGAGAGACCATTTGAAGTATGACGCCAACTCACTTTCAACTGCTGTTGAAAGACTAGGCAACCAGCTCAGAGACGCAAATGCAATGCAGCATGGTTAACTAGAAATCGGAGCAGTTTGTATGAGTGCACTCAAAATGACAGATGGACCTTGGGGAAATAAATGGAAGGCATTGAAAGGCTTGTGCAAAGGAGAGTGTTCATGTTTTAAGTCTGAGTCCTCTGGTTTAGAAGGGATTAACCAAACCCCACAGAAGGGAAGCCAAGGGAAACAAGCACTTCGTCTATGGAAAAAGTCGAAAAGACTTAAATTTCTCTCAGCGATGGTGGGGAGCTAGAGGACAACTCGATCCTTGGGAAGGCCAGTTCTCGAATACTCATCTGATAATATGAAACAGTCTTTGCTACTCCGTTGAGCCTGTTGGCATAACTCACAACAGACAAAAGACACACACCCTCTGGCAACTTTGGGCTTGCCATCTAGAGAATCTGCTGTCTGATATATTTAATAAAAGAGAAAAGCTTGATATTACATCTCCACCGAGCAGAAACATTCCAAGAATGCACACAGAGAAAATAAATACGAATATGATTCTAGCAGAGAAACAGAGACAAATGGGGAGCTAAAGACACAGTAAAGAAAGCGAGGAACAGGGTCCGGGGAGGGGGCAGCAGCTCGGTGGTAGGATGCATATCCAGCATGTGTGAGACCCCGAGTTCAACCCTCAGGCACCACAAAAGCAAAAACAAACAGAGAATTGGATGTGTTTCATAAACTAAACATTTTCAGTGCCTGGAAATTTATTATATGTTGACATCAATTTGGAAGATCATGTATCCATTACTCTGTACTATAACCAAGAGTTATATTTTAACCTTCAAATATGGCATGAAACTGGGTGTGGTGACCCATGCTTGTAATTCCAAGACTGAGGGGTGGAGGCAAGAGGATCAGAAGTTCAAGGCCAGCCTGGGTACATGTGATCCTGTCTTTAAAAATTATGTTTGATCACACCAAATGGACATACCATTCTGTCATGTTTAAACATTGGTTAACATACTAATTATGGCCATAGAAGCTATTTTAACAAGCCCTGACATTTGTGCATGATGAAGAAGGGTAGAGGGAAGGATAAGGGCATGGAGAGGAGAGGTGACAGACAGACTGGGCCTGTAGCACATTGGCTGGCCAGGATATCATATGATAACTATGAATGATGCTCATAGGCCTCATTCTACGCTTCATATAACTTAGTATCATAGGGCTGTATGTCCACCCAATTATATCATATTATTGTTTGTTTGTTTTGTCTTGAAGTAGTGTCATGCTATGTCACCCAGGCTAGTTCCAAACTTTCAATCTTACCTCCATCTCCCAAGTGCTAATATTGCTGGCATGTACCGCACTCAGCCCTGTTGTATAGATTCTCTGTGCTCTGGCATCTTGGGGGTCTTGTGGACCTATGCATCATCCTTCCTTGGGTTAACTAAATCCTACAGGGATCAAATTCATCTGTTAGCATACCTTTGATGAGCAAACCAACCCACCCAGCCTGTATTTCTCACTCCATTTTCACCAGACAGCTACACTCAGGGACACCATCCCCTGTCAGCTGCCAAGCACATGTGAACCACCCCTATAGCTCAGAGCCCACTGGAATTGTTCAAACTCTCTGAGCACAAGCTTACAGAGCCTCCTTGCCTGCCCTCCTCCATCTCTTGCTGCCTAAACCGCGACAGAATCTTCTACCCACAGCTTCCCCTCCCCATCTGCTCCCCGTGTTCCAGTGTTTCCCATGGTGACCTTGTGTGTTATGTCATGCCTCCTGCTTCTGGAAACTCTGAGTATAGTAACTCCCTCCTTTGTGACAGTTATTTTCATGGATCTGTGTTTCACTGCACCCACTCAATACAAGTCCCAGGCATATTTTTAAAATAATAGTATTCTAAGTGTCCTGCCTGTCTCAGTTATCCATATATTCTAATCCAACTGAACATGCTTCCTGAGGTTGCCCATCACCACACAACAATCTCTGGACCACTTTATCCTCACTGTTATGTCTTCACTAAGTACGTTCACGATGGTGTGGCTATGACATCATAGTGGTTGGTTTCAGATGGCACAGCAGTTTTTCTGCTGTTTTGGAAAAGCAGAAATTTCCTCTGCCCTGAAATTCCTTTGTTTAATGCTGTGCCCTTGCCTGCCCCCTGGATGAACATGGAATACAGCGGGGCTGGTCAGTTTTCATGAGGTTTGGCTCTTGTATCATATAAGAGAAGGGCCAGGAAAGATGGAGCTGATTTCTTCTGCCATTGGTACCTGGAAGAAAAGATCATCTATTCTGGTATTACTATACTGATTTCATGTTGTCTCACAAACTAGTAAAGTCCTAAGTTAAAGTTACTCTCTTTTGCTTGCAAGCCCAGAACCTCAACAGGCACTCATGAATGGGTGGGGAACCCTTTATGCAAATTGGCCATTAAAGCAAATCTCACCGGGGTTCTGGAGGGTCACGGGTGGCATTAAGAGAGCTTGAGAATAAAAAGATATTTGAAATGAACTTGTAAAATAAGTGCTGTGTACTAGTAACTCCCCAGTCTTTTCTGCGCCTCCCTTTTACCTGACCCATCATACTTTAATAAATAATGTAGACACACATGTTGAATTGTGGGTTGATACAAAAGTGGATGCAATCTGGCAGTCATTGTACTAAGCTGAGGTGTTTAGTGTATAAGGATGTCTGTGTTGGACTCTTGCATCTAATGCCTGCTCAATATTCATGAGGCTTTGGGTTTACTTCCTACTACAAATGGTAGGTAGGTAGATAGATAGATAGATAGATGATAGATAGATAGATAGATAGATAGATAGATAGATAGATAGATAGATAGACAGACAGATAGAACCTCAGAGAAACCCAGAGAAAGAAGAGAAGCCTTCTTCACCAAGGGCCAAGCAGCTACCTCTCTCAATGCGCTCACCACCCATCTGCACTGTCCTCTCTTCATTCTGTGGTTAACCTGAGGAATGCTTGCACTGTGATCTGAGAAGATCCAAGGCAGACAGGGTTAACTTTTGGAACACAGAGTTTCTTTTGCATCTCTCCTTTTCTATCTTTTTGAGAGGGACTCATTCATGCAGAAAATGAGAATATGTGAGGCTTGAGGCCAGGCTTCCTTTTTTGCCTACTTTGGTTTGGGGCTGTCAGAACGATCTTGAGTTCTTTGCTGGAAGTTGGTCAGAGCTCCAGATAATGATAGAGTATCTTGCTGTATCTCTTGGGCACCTCATGGACAAGGATAGAATTTGGGTAGTGCTGGTTTCTGGCCAATTCCATCCTTAACAGCACACCCTTCATGTCAGTCAGTAGATTCTCATTTGGTCGTCTCTATTAGTTTCAGTTGTCACACATTGTGATTGGGTAGCGTTCACATCCTACCAGTGGTCCTTTGGAGTATCATCTTGTACAGTCTCTGTATTATGCTTGACACACGAAATGCAGTTTGTGCCATGTGTGATAGGATCAACAGTATTTGCAATTTTTCAGGCCTTTCTATATCCAAAGCATTCATACTGGATCTTCTTCCATTCAGAGGTCAAGTCCCATTTTGCTGCTCCCTGAATCTAAGTTGGGCACGTGATTTTGCTTCGGCCACTGTCACCTCATAAAAGTGAGGGCATATCAAATCTGGTTGTGGACTTTTAGAGGTCTTGTGTATCCCCAACAGTACTTCAGGGACCCTCAAATTTGCCATGTGAGCAAGTTCAAGGTGTCCTGCTAGAAAACGAGACCAGGTGAATGAGATCTGAGTCCCCTCACTGGTCCCACTGAGGCTCCAGCTTGGCTAAACCAATGCAGCTGACCACTGATGCATGAAAGAGCCTCAAAGAAGAACCGCTATCAGAAAAGATTCTAAGTTGATGACTGTCAGATATAGATCGTGAGCATGTGCCACATGATGGCATCTTAGTCGATGTTGGGCTGTATAGATGATGGTGGTCCCATTAAGTTCTATCACCTATTGACATGGGCATCATGGTTTATGGAAGTGCACTCTACCATGTTTACATAATGATGAACTCACGCAATGACACATTTGTGAATGTAGCCGTCTCATTAAATGATGCACGACTAGAAATGGATGACAGGCCAAATGACCCAAGTTTAAAGTGACTTGTCATGCAACAGTTAACTGACACTGATTGTTATTATGCAGGGAAATTAGACCGTTTGAATGATTAAGACAATCCAGTAAAGTGTTAAAACCTTTACCACAGGGATCTCCAAGTAGAAGCTTTGTGATTCCCATAGTGGGCCTGTGAGTGAGTTTTTCAATTCTAGGATTCTCAAATTCTGCAGTGTGATAAGTTTTGTTCTATCATTCCAAATATAGAAAAGCATGTTATTCTCTTAAGCACAGGAATAAAATTTTGTGTGTTAGTATTGAAGGACTCCTAAATTAATTAAGAATCCATTGAGTTTCTTGGACTCACAAAGCCAGCTAGTACAGAGGTTTGGTGGTGCATGCCTGCTGTTCCAGCACTCAGGAAGCCACGTGGGAAGATTATTTGATCTCAGGGGTTTGAAGTCAGCTTGGGAAATATATGACTCTATCTAAAAATGAAAACAAAACACACACACACACACACACACACACACACACACACACACACACACCAAAACCACAGGTGATTGTTGGCTTAATTTTTTTTTAATTTTTATTTTAAACTGTATAGGTTTTACCTGCACCACATGCATGCAGTGCCTGAAGAGGCCAAGAGAGGGCACCAGATTCCCTGGAACTGGAGTTACTAGAAGGTTGTGAGCTGCTGTGTGGGTGCTGGGAACCAAACCTAGGTCCTCTGGAAGAGGAGAAAGTGCTCTTAACTGCTCGGCCATCTCTCTAGCCCTCTGATTGGTTGCTTATATGTGAAAATATATGTGACAGATTCTGAATGTCGAACTTCAACCTCAACATTATTGAGGCTAGACCGCAGCTTAATTCCTTCTCCCCACCTTTAAACAATTTAATCATGTAATAGTTATGGGGTGCAGCATATTCCAACATATCTACGTCGCATGTTCTCAAGGCACAGTTCTGTCTCCTGAGCATTGCTCTCTTCCTTACACTTTTGAGTTTTAGGTTTATATTCATGTTAATGAGCAGTAAAATAGGCTTGATAGTCCTCCATCTTCAGGCCTGGCATAAACGAATCAAATATCCCTTCAAAAGAGTTGAGGACTCTAGATTAACTGTAACTATAAAATACTGTCCCACAGGGAGATATCGTAGTAAATGGGTCACTCAAGGTATGACTATCCCCAAGTAAGTTTCACTGGAGAAACAATCATTAGAGGTTAGAACATATATGACCAAAGTGACTAAATATTGTAGATATGTACTAATGTAATGCCTTGAAGTTTGTGTTTATACAGAAGCCTGAGAAAGAAATGTGAATTTTTAGTATTTGTGAGACCTGGATATGTTTCTCAGTGGTACAGTGCTTGCCTCACATGTATTAGGGCTGGGTTACATTCTCCAGTACTGCCGAACAAATACAATTAGCTTCCAAAGAATGGCTGAAGAGAGAGTGGCTTTTACAGGCTATCAGGCATATTTAACAGATGTCAAGTTTCCAGAAGAATAGACTTGCCTAGTTATTTATTCAATATATTTCAGTATTTTCTGAAAGAAAATGAATAATGTACTAGTCCATGACATCAAGATTCACAAAAACACACATATATTCCCATTCTGATAATTTTTTTTGAGACAGGGTTTCTCTGTGTAGCTCTGGCTGTTCTGGAACTCACTCTGTAGCCCAGGCTGGACTCAAACTCACAGAGATCCACCTGCCTCTACCTCCTGAGTGCTGGGAATAAACACTGCCTGGCTTCCCATTCTGATAATTTTTAAGAGTTCATGATATAGCCGGGTGGCGGTGGCGCACGCCTTTAATCCCAGCACTCGGGAGGCAGAGCCAGGCGGATCTCTGTGAGTTCGAGGCCAGCCTGGACTACCAAGTGAGCTCCAGGAAAGGCGCAAAGCTACACAGAGAAACCCTGTTTCGAAAAAAAAAAAAAAAAAAAAAAAAAAAAAAAAAAAAGAGTTTATGATATAAGCTTTTATACAAATGAGAGAATTAGAGAGAATTCTTAGGGCTTCTATATACATAAGTACTGGAGACCCTGAACTTGTATTGGAAATGTGGTCAAACTGTGACCTCTTTTGTAGGATAGTATTGGGAGTATTTGTGCATTCCTGATCTGGATATTATATTAGCCAGGGCTCTCTAGAGCAGCGGTTCTCAACCTGTGAACTGTAACCCTTTGGTAAACCCTTGTCTCCAAATATTTACATTATGATTCATAACAGTAGCAAAATTACAGTTATGAAGTAGCAATGAAAATAATTTTATAGTTGGGGGTCAAGACAACATGAGGAACTGTATTAAAGGGTCCAAAAATTAGGAAGATGGAGAGCCACTGCTCTAGAGAAACAGAACAAATGGGATGAACACACACACACACACACACACACACACACACACACACACAAACACACACACACACATATACACATGCTTATATACACATGCTTATATAAGCATGTGTATGTTAAACAATTTGTTAAGTTAGCTTACATGTAAATAGTAACAACAGCTGAATCCCCCGAGCTGCTGAGAACCTGGTAGTTGCTCAGGCCTGGAGGCTGGTAGCCTCAGCAGTTGGAATAACCCCACAATGGCTGTCTGACACTGGGGGAACTGCAAACCTGGTAGTTAC